TGGGCACTGCCCATCAACGATGAGTCCAAATCTTTGGGGTGGAGGTGATAAGGATGACTCTCCTCTACGGTACAAAGGTCCTGGTCTCTACACATAATGTGTTAACCTTTTCAGGGCCTGTAGAAAGGCCCTTTCTGCTACTTTAAGGGATCACTCCCTTCACCTGTCAACTGCTTGATGCCCATGTTTCCTCCCATCCTTCACCCATGGACCCTTCCTCAGGGAACCCTTTCCAGAGACTAGTACACACAACAATCATTATCTGTCTGCTTCTTGGTTTCAGGTCTTTCAGTATTGGTGGACTGAAGGTGAAGGGCACCTTCTCAACCCCCCTGTGGGATTAGGGCCCCACCCTTATGCTCTCATTTAACCTTAATTACCTCCATAAAGGCCCTAGCTCCACATAGAGTCACATTGGGAGTTAGGGCTTCAACACGTGGATTTGGGGAGGAGGGGATGCAACTCAATCTATTACTGAGGGTATCATGGATATTTTCCCATTGACATATACTCCCGTCTTGGCAGGCTTCCACATATGTGATTTACTTGACCCTATCCCAATCTTTTTTTTTTTTAAGATTTTATTGGGGAATTGGGGGAGGGGAACAGACAAGTTGCTGTCTTTTTTTTTTTATATGTCCTCCAAATCAGAGGTTCTCTAATTTTATTTATTTTTTTATTAAAAAAAATTTTTTTTATTGTTAGTTTCAGATGTACAGAACAATGCAATAGTTACCGTTTTCACCCTCACAAAGTGACAACCCCCCTCCCCAAGTTGCTGTCTTTTTATTCTTCAATCTCGTTGTGGAGGATGTCACTTCACTGGCCCATGTTGGTATTGTGATCACTGCACTCTTCCTGGGTGAGGCAGTTGCTTGCCAGCAATTGGACGGCTGCTCACAGCAGCTCACACCAGCTGCTGGCCACTCACGCTGGCTGCCAGCCACTCACGATAGCTCACGGCAGCTCACTGCAGCTGGGGCTTCAGCTTTCGCCATCGCTGGCGACTCAGCAGCCCAGCTCCAGGTTGAGCTGTTGTTCACCATCTTAGCTGTAGAGGGCGCAGCATCACTGGCCCTCATGTGTGACCCAAACCCAGGCCCTGCTGCTCAGAGCTGGTGTCCCAAGCCAACTCTCAACCAATGCACTACTTGGCCCATGAACTCCACCATTCTTAATGTCACCTCACCTGGAGCTCCTTGCCCTCCAGATATCTTACATCCTTTGGAAGCCTGGTTCAGTGCCCCATGGTCTGTACACTTTCCAGGTCTCCCAACTCCATTGGTTAGAGCTGGGCCACCTTGTGCCCCCCATTTGCTGTATTCCTCTTAGTGTCCCATGTCCCTTCATCTTTGGGTGGGGTTTGAGACACTCAGTGCAGATTCCCTGCCACTAATACCTGAGCCAAGCCAGCTTCCCCTGAAACTTGAGAGGGAACCTCTTGCTATAAATTTGCTCAACAAATCACCCACTTGTGACTTTACCATGTCTTGGGCAGTGTGGATGTGGTTAGGGGAACAGCCAAGAAATCCTGAAATCTTTTCAGTTGGGTTGTTATGTGTAGTGGTTACAGAAAAGCAACTCAGAAACTATGTTAGGATTTAACAAATTAATATGCTGATTTTGGGGGTGCAAGAGTTCTCACTGTTGTAGGAAGGCATAAAAATATGAAGTTACACACTGTATTTGTATGTATATGTGCATACATACACCTTTTTCTGTGTATCCTGTATTTGTTTGTATATGTGCTTGAAGTTCTTCACTCAGCAGAAGACACACTAGTAGCAATAAATACACCTGGCACTCAGATTTGGTCTCTAATACTATCCCAACTAAACTGAATCAGTTCTTTGGTTCTAGAGAAATGGCTGGTTTCAGGGTTGGAGAAAATACAAGATGAGTTTGGAACATCTTATGATACTAAAAAGAAAAGGAGTGCTCAAGAAATGATGGAGCCATGCCACAGTGATGCAGGAAACTTCCTGAAGGACTCTCATTGGCCACATCTGGCACAACTTGAGCACCAAAATAACTAAGGACAGCAGTAAGTTATAAGCCATTGAGAAAACAAGAATCCATCAGTCCACCTGATAATAAAGACAAATGGGGACAAGAGGGTGCTGGCTTGCACTAGAGTGCCCAGGGCTAACAGTAAACACGAAGGGAGGGCTGGCATGGGATAATTGGCACTTGGCAATCATGATGGTAAAGATTCAGGCAACAGTCATCAATGGAGGCTGAACCTAGGGAGAAATTTTGGTGAGAAGCAGGATATTTGCATTATACCAAAGGTCTCCCCACAAGTTATTAAAGGGGGAGATACATGGGGCAGTGTGTGTGTGTGGGGGGATTGAGCACATTTTGTGTGAGCAAAGGAATCACCACTAACAGGAGGAATGTGGACTTCTTGCACCCCCACATGTGTGTGGGGGGCAGTGCACACAAAATACAGAAAGTGGGGTAAATGTTAACAGGTAAGTGTGGATGAAGGTATGTGGATGATCCCTGTACTATCTTTGTTATTTTTTTGCCTTTTATGTATGTTTTAAATTACTTCCAAATAAATTCAAACAGTAAACAAAAGCACAGGCATGTAGCTGTGCACTAAACGAGCTATCAGTTGGGAAACTGAAGCCGGAGAGTTGGGCTGTATGGGAACAAAAAACCTGTCAGTGGGCCTGAGAGCTGAGTGGGATGCATCTCAGGAGTGATCTCCCTATGGCAACAGGAGAACTAAACTCATGGGTTCGGCTGGAAACGAGTTGAAAGGCCAAATTTAGTTTGTTTTGTGTCACGTCCTGCGTGGCAAGGGCAAATGGGACACGAGAGGGGTGACGCAGGTTGAATAAGTACAAGAGACAAAAGTCAGATAAGAGCGAGACCAAGGGACCCAGCCTGGAAGACTGAGCCCCGAATCGGGTCAACACATGGCTTTTTTTTTTTTAAATGCAGTTGTATTTTTTTTTAAGATTTTTTTTTGTATTGGGGAATTGGGGGGATGGAACAGCGTTGGGGAATTGGGGGAAAGGGAACAGACAAGTTGCTGTCGTTTTGTTCTTCAGTCTAGTTGTGGAGGACGTCGCTTCACTGGCCCAATTTGTTGGCACCATCATTGTGCTCTTCCCGGGTGAGGCAGATCAGTCGCCGGCTTCTGGACGGCCACTCACTGCGGCTGCTGGCCACTCACGCTGGCTGCTGGCTACACACGGTAGCCCATGGCAACCCACTGCCACAGGGGCTGCAGCCTATGGCGTCGCCGGCGACTCACGGCAGCCCAGCTCCAGGTTGAGCTGTTGTTCAGCATCTTAGCTGTGGAGGGCAGTGTCACTGGCCCTCATATGTAGGATCCGAACCGGGGCCCCCTGGTGTCCCAAGCCAGTTCTTAACCATCGCGCCACTTGGCCAGCCCAACGCATGGCTTTTATTGAGATCCTACAAGGAAGTGAAACTGTCATTTTTCAAAGATCCGTTGCTATGTGCCTTAAGGCTGTTTTCCATTAACCAGCTCCCACTGTATTCCAACAAATGCTATGCCTTCATACATCACTACACAGCCCCCAGGACACTTTGTTACTATGTCCTTTCATATAGGGGAGGTGACTGATATCATTCCACCGGGTCCCAGGACTGCCGGGACACTCCCTGAGAGAGCTTTACCGATATCATTCCACCAGGTCTCAGGAATGCTGAGACACTCTCTCATGACCGACTGGGTCAGGGGCTAATGCAGTGGGGGCGGTCGTGGAGGTAGCTGTAAGGCAACAGTTTTGTAATTACCAGAGCCACCCCTAGCTTAGGGTTAGGGGGTGGACAGGCAAGGAAAATTGAGATCAGCGATGGTGGCAGAGACAGGCATCTGGGCAGACAGTTCCGGCCCCTTGCAAGTGACTGGGACCGTGAGATCATGTGTCATGTGTGAGTCAAAATGATGGGTGTCATCTTCCAGCTGGGTGAGTGTGGTCCACGTGCTCCAAGGGTCCAGAGGACAGCATAGCTACAACAGTGATGAAGTCCGGGTCTCTGGGTCACAGGAAGCACAGCTGCCCTCCCACCAACACATAAGTAACAGCAATAACCACAAGACTATGCTATGAAGTGAAACAATAAATCCTGTACTATGTTAAGCCTCTGTGCTTTCGGCGTCATTACAACAGACTGGTGCTCAAACACAATGACAGAAAGAAGCACCAGTTTCTGTAACTACAGGAAGCAATTAAGTGTATGCTTAGGCCATGGGAATAATGCTCTACTGAGATTAAATGCAAAAATCAAAAGATCACCTGATGTAGATGAGTCAAGTTCCCCTTGCCCAGGCAGACACATCTCATCAAACTTTTTGGTATTTTCAGCCTGTTTTGATCACAACCCACCCCCCAAGTAAAACATACATTTTACATTGCAACCAGTTCTCATATTTAACATATTTAGAAATACAGCTGAAAAGTTTCACAAAACAATATTTGCCTTTACTACATGAGGAATTTTGACTCATATTATTGTATTTCATTGCTTTGTAATGCCGGTGGCCATCCACTAATTTGATTTCACAATTCGTTGACTGGCTGAGACGCATGATTTGAAAACTGCATTACTAGGCTCCACACATTCTTGTGAGCCTTGTAAGCCACTCCATACACATAAAGACATGAGTGAAACTAGAAAACAGTCTGCTACTGAGGATTCTGATGTGAACTTCACATTGCATATTTATAAAAAGACCAAAATCGGCTGGCAAGATTTCTGCTTGCTCAGTGGCCCTGGGGTGCTCCAACAGGAGGAACGGGGGAACAAGGTTGACTTCAAGAGAGCTGGCGGATCACACACTTTAAGTCAACCCTACACTTTGCACAATGACAAATGTTCCAATGTGTGGCAGGTGCTAAGAAGGCTACAGAAGAAAGCAGTCTTCTTTCACACCTGATGGCTTGCACCTACATATGAGCCTCTGGGCAGGTATGCTTACAGGTGAGGGCTTCCTGCGGGGCCTTCCTAGGTGCTAAGTGTTCTAGCCACATTAGCTCATTTGGGAAACAAGCTGACTTCCATCCACACAGACACCACAGGAAGCTATGCAAGCTTTCAAAGGAGCCCAATACTTTACTCAGGGATCCCAGGCGGGCACAGTTATCCTTCTTCAGGGGCACTGAGCAAAATGGCCCATCCCTGTGCTTGAGGCTGCACAGGGAAAACCTCACTGTTGGCAGCCCACCGACCCTCCCCCGGCATGGGCTCCACATGTGGGGGGGGGGCTCAAAGTCCTCCCTGACACACAGCTTTGTTCTTTCTCGTGGGTCTTCTGTTGCTCGGCCAGGGCCAGGCTGAAGTAGAGGATTTTCCAGCAGCCCTGGCACACATGGAGCTTCCAATCACTGTCGTTCCCGAGATGAAACATGAGATCCACACAAAGGACTTCTCACACTGACTGCACACATGGGGCTCCCCTCAGGACACCTCAGGCTTATTAGCTGCTGCAGGCTCCTGCTTCACCCTGCAATGCTCGCAGTGGCTCATGCTGGAGACACCTGTGAGTGGGGCCTCTTCCTTCCGAGGCCTTGGTGTGGGGTGGCTGGTGTGCGGGCACAGGAAGGCTATCCCCAATGTGTCCCTGTCCTAGACTGGCTCCCAGATGATGGACTGCCTGTGGGTCATGGTGAGAGGGCTTGGTTCCTCCTGAGAATCAGAGCCTTCTGCAGCTGCTTTCCTACTCCTCCCTGGCAGTGCCAGTCAAGGGGCAAACGGTGTCCCTCAAGAATCTCTCCATCAGGGTCTCCCACATGGAGACTTCCTCACACATGCTCTCTTTGCTTTCTTGCCACCTCCTGACGCCTGAATCAAGTCCAGCGGTCCCACCGCCCAGGGCTCAGAAAAGGAATCTGCCATGTGAACAGAGCTTGAAAGCCCTGGGCCTGTGACACTGGAAAGGACAAGGATGGGAAGCCCTAGTGAGGGGGAAGGTGCAACTGAGGAGGCGAGAAGTGCTTTACATGCACCCATCAGTTGATTCTCTCAATAAACCCAGGGGCAATGGACTCAAGCTAGATCACACAGCTGCTAAATGCAGTGACCTGGGCCATGCTGAACTCAGAAGATCACCACCTGTTCCCAGTCTCCTTTCCATTCATCAACATTCCCTGAATTCACAGCTGCCTGGAAGAAAGACTGTAATTCCCAGCCTACCATGCAGCTCCAGTGGTCATGTAAGTTCTGGCCAATGGGGTGTAAGTGCAAGTGTAAGGGGTGGGGAGGAGCCTTCTCCTTTCTGCTACTGTGGATGTGAGAGCTGGAACAGCCATTTTGGATGGTGAGGTGACACTGGCAATGAAGCCATGAGGTGGGGAGAGCCTGGGTCCATCACCAGAAAAGGCCAAATGAGCCCTATTGTGGTGAGCTACTGCATTACACTGGTGGCCCCCAATAAAGCATGTCTCCAGGGATTCATGACCTTGGGTGATCCCCCAACACACACACACTGGCTTGGCCATATGACCTACCATGTATGGTCTGTGGGACATTAGCATGCAAGAGACAAACAAGGACTTGATAAGCACCTGCACAACTGTGCTTATCCTTCTGGAATGCTCCCTCTTAGAACCCAGCCGCCATACTGTGAGGAAGCCCAAGTCAGCCACTTGGAGGCAACATGAAGGCGGACCAGGTCAATGGCTTTAGCTGAACTCCCCATCAAGGGCCAGAGCCAATTGCCAATTGTGTGAGGCCACCCAGAACATTCCAGCCCTAGTCAAGCCTCCAGTGACCATGGCTGTGTGCATGGCTCAGCAGCCACCAAATGGAGCACAATACCTGCCCAGGTAACGCAGTCAATCCACAGCATTACAATAATTAATATTGCTGCTGTTTAAATGACTGGGGTTATTTGTTACACAGCAAGAGATCACTGAAACAGCTGACTCTGCGTCCTGCTCTGGCACTGGGGATCAGGCGGTGAGTAGGGGCCAGCTGCTGGAGAATGACTGAGTTAGGTCAGAGAGGTCTTGCTGAGGCCAGTGGAGCTGTGAAGAGTGCCTGTCAGCCTCTGAAAGAAAAGTACACCCTCCAACCCGGGCCCCAACCATCTCTCACTGACCCAACCTCACCTGAGAAGCTGCCTCCTGGTGGTTCTCTTTCAACCAACCAAAGTTCCTCTGTCTCCAGCCTTAAGGGGTGGGGTGGGGGTGGGGGGTGAGGGGGTGGAAAAAAAACCCAGAAAAACTGAAAGGGACATTGAAACCAGAATAGAAAGCAGCCAATGATGGGCCTCAAGTCCAAAGGACTGGCCATGGCTAGGGCTGCAGCCTTGGTCCTTTGCACTAGAACGAGCGCCCATCAGAGTCCTAGGTTGGGGGTTCCAAGAACATGGAGGGAGAGGTGAAGAAGACAGTCCGCCAGGGCAAGGCTCAAAGGGCCAGCAGGTAGGCAGAAAGTGGGGGCAATTCAGGGGAAAGCCAAGTTAAAAAAGAATGTGAGGCCTTTTGAGTTTCCTCTGCTTGGGGCCTGCTCCAAACTCTTTGGAGTGTACTGTTTCTCTTAATAATGACTCCCTGACCCTGGTTCCAGCCCTTGGCCTTGGCCCCCTTGGGCCTTTTGAGTTCCTTTAGCTCGGCCCACTCCAAACTCTTTGGAGTGTACTTTTTTTCCTAATAATGGCCCTTGAGCCATTCTCTACTGTTCAGGCCCACTTCTGTTTCTTTGAAATGTATTTTTCTTCTAATAAACTCCTTTTCTGCAACTTTACCTCTCTGGTCTGTGTCTCCATTCTTTGGTTCCACGAGACCACGATCCTAGTACAAACACACAATCACACTCATCAAAAAATCCTGCTTCAGGCTGGCTGAGTGGCTCAGTTGGTTAAAGAGTTAGCTTAAGAGGCTGGCCGAGTGGCTCAGTTGCTTAAGAGCTTGCTCAAGAGTGTAAGCTCTGAGCAACAGAGGTTCAAGTCCCGGCCCAAGCTGAGCTGCCGCTGAGCTGCCAACAGGTGGCAGGATGGCTCAGTGGATACAGCATGCGCTCTTAACAACAAGGCTGCTGGGTTTGACTCCCACATGGGATGGTGGTTACACCCACCCACAACTAAGACTGAACACAGCACCTTGAGCTTAGAGGCCACGAGCTGCCGATAGGCAGCCAGATGGTGACTGGCGCCCTCCACAACGAAGATTAAAGAACAACAACTTGGCTGGTCCCCTTCCCCAATTCCCCAACACTGTTCCCTTCCCCCAATTCCCCAATTTAAAAAAAAAGGAATGTAAAATTAAAACTATAAAAGCTCAGAAGTCTGTTGGGGCCTCCCTATGGAGAATTTCTGAAGCACAGATGTCCATACAAGAGAGGGAAGACCCATGAAAGCGGATAAGCTTCGTCCCATCCCAAAGAAGATGGGAAAGTCAACGCCTTGGGGCCAGAGGCCTTTCCAAATTGGGAAGCTTCAGGTCTTAAAGGCAGGGGCTGAAAACTCAAAGGCCCAGGACTGAAATGCATAGACCAAGAAGGGCGTGAATCTTGGCAAACTCGTTCAAGGTCACTTCAAAGACATTTAAAACACTGTGGTGTCCCAACCAAAGCCCCACGAATCAGAGTCCCCCAGGCCAACAGTTTTGGAAGAGGATGGAGGGTGGGGAACGGGGAGGCAGGTCTCACCCCACAGGAGCAGTTTCCTGTAGGTATTCAGGTTCTCCTCCACTGGGTCCAGGTGGCCCCGTACCCCCAGGTACAGAGGCACCTCTGGAAACTTCAGCTTCTGAAATGGCAGCGCAGCCCTAGCTGAGGCCTCCCATCCAGACCTTGGTCCCATGACCACAGCGAGCACACCAGTGGTGGCACTGTCCTGGGGCTCCTATCCACCACCTGGCAGCTTCTGCCAAAGGACCCCAGGCTTCCCTGGACCCAACCCCTGGGTTAACACGAGAGCAGGTGCTCTCCGCCTCACCACTACGAACATTCTTTGTGGTGGGCAGAGCCTGTCCCGGGCTTTGCAGGATACTTCACAGCTTCCATGGCCTCTTCACTCTAGATGCCAGTAGCACCCACTCCCAATACTGACAACCAAAGCTGTCTCCAGCCACTGCCAAGTGTCCCCTAGGTGGGGGCAAAACCACCCCTGGTTGAGAGCCTCTGCTGTAGAGAACCCCAAAGTTTCCTCCATCACTACACGAGGCTCCGGGCCCGCACCCAGGAGGCAGCAGAAGCAGGAAAGCTATGCTCGCTGCCCCCAGAAGAGACAGAAGGACATGCCTGACAGAGGCCATGAAAAAGACAAAGTGGGTGGCCCACTGGTGACACTGCCACAAGTCCCAGAAAGTCTGAGGGATTGCCTCCTGGGCAGAGGGAAAAGCATCTGCAAGGCCGCAAGGGCAACACAACCTCAGTCAAGTGCAAGGAGCATGGGAACGGGGACGGGGCTGTGGGCAGGGGGCCGGGCAAGGCAAGGAGTACCTGTTGGTAGGAGTCCTGGACAAGGCAGCCCCCACCCACCTTCAGCTCAGATTTTATGGGCTTGACCTCTTCTGTCTCCCCCCAAATGCTTCCCTGTTCCAGAAGCATGGGGTCTGGGGCCGGACAGGCTGGGGAGAAGGGAATGCAAAGCTGAGGCATCCCCAAACCAGTCAGGGAGACCCCACCGCCTCTCCCACACAGATCCCAGGGGGAGAGTGTAGAGTTCTCAGACAAGTTCTCTTGTCACAGCAGGTCCCAAGGCTCAACTGACCCCATATCTATCCTCAATTGACAGAGCAGAGTGGCTAAAAATAAATAAAAAAGTTCAGTGGTGGCCCCAGAAATTTGAACCAAAGTCACAAAGGAAGTAATACTTTTCACCTTAAGGTGGACACCTTAAAATGCAACAATGTGCAGTGCAGGCACAGATGTGGGGAAATGGGCACTCTGGTACACCAGCACCACATATGCTACAAAACTTGGGGAAGCCATGTGGAAAAGCCCTTTGTCCAATGATCCCGAGGAGCCCACCTTCCATATCCAGCACCCACCTGAGGGCGTTTTACTGCAGAGCTTTGCAGGAAGGGGCAGGAACCATAATGGCATGAATTCTCACTCCAGGATGACAAACAGCGGTCCCATGAAACGCCATGAAAGTAGGGAAGAGACAGCACTGGATCTCTGCTCACCACCCAGAGGGACCAGGGTGACTGAGGGGTGGTTGTGGGGACAGCATGCGCTCAGGCACCATCACATCGTCTCCAGGGAAACCGGCCACAAACCCTCCGCACAGGCCCACAATGAGACACCAGAAACACGAAGGGCCCCACCCCAAGCCTGTCATTTGGTTTTATTTTTAGCGGGTATGAGAGAGTAGGGACATTATTTTTTTTATATACCTAAATGCCTCTCACTGTTTGTGATAAGAACTATGATTTGCATAATCTCTGAAGAGGAATTGAATTAAAAGTAATACTTGTCACTTTCACCGGAGCCACCTAAAGGGAGAAATCAATATTACAACAGGATCTCCAAGCCTCGGTTACTTTGGCCTTCCTTTAGCTCCCATAATTCCTGCACAGCGTCTCCCTCCTGCCCTCTCCGTCACAGATCATGGCTCACCACACCCGCCCAAGGGCTGGCTGGTCACTCACAGGTTTCAGGGGGTTACTGGGTCTCATTGGGATTCTGGTCTTCACTGGCCCTTGCCAGCCTACCTGATAACAGCAGACAATAAAGGCTCAGCATGCTCCCCATACATCCCTTTGCTAAAAGCTATGATGACCCCATAGGAGAACTTAACAGTGTCTGTTTACCCTGAGGGGAGAGTGGACCCAAGAGGTTGAGACTCATGCTAATAATTACACAGTAAACCTGGAGGGAGCACATGCGGACCTAGGCTACTAACCCTGAGCCCAAGGCTCCAGGGTCTCATTACTACCAGTCCCTGAGGTCTTGCCCTTAGATATGGTGGAGACACTGTCTACCCAGCCCCAGTGCTCACCTTATGCCCATACTCAGGGGGCAGAAATGTGCTCAGAACTTTAACTCAGTTTTTTAGGGGCTGGTTTCTCCTGATTTCTTATATCCAGAAAGTAGATGTGTGAGCAGGAGGCCAAGCAGCCTTTCTGCCCCATGAGGCAACCCTGAGGGTGATGCCACTGGGCAGAGTGGTAGGGGCTGGATCTCTGCTGACTGAGGAGCTGCCTCACCAGCTCAGGGAGGCTCATCTCTGTGCCTCAAATACATGGAAAATTAAACTCTCTTAGCTAAGTCATTGCTAGGCTCTGGGCTCTACACTTCAGTTTCACTCCTTCCAAGGCTGACCCTTTCCCCATTTCCTCTAACACATGCATGCTCTCCTCACCTGGACTCCTCTAGGGCCTTGGTGAGATCCTCCACCAGGAAGGCCGCCTTCTTGATGCTCTCAGGACAGTGTGCCATCATCCAGGGCCAAACATCATCAAGCAGGATGTTTAGGAACTGCTCCAGAACCTACTCCTTTGGAATGTACCTCAGGCTGCAGCCACTAGCGGCATAGCTCGTGGAACTGGGACAGGGCCTGGTGGGTGAAGTTCCAGAAATGCAGGTAGGAGACCTTGAGGTCAGCAGGGGTCCTCCCACAGATGGTCTTGAGTTCCTCCTGGGGTTCCTCATTCTGGTCCCCAGTTGCCAATCCTGGTGTGGGCAGTTTTGTGGGAGTTGGGGGAGCTTCTAGGGGTGGCATATGCCTTCTCCAAAGGCAGCATCTTTCCAAATCCACACTGGGAAATGTGACTGTGACCAGCCAGGAGCAGGGTGGCCACCGTGGAGAGTGGGTTCACATACAGTGGCTCCAAGGAAGAGACACCAGGGGCAAGAGGATGCTGTGAAATCTTGGCTGGAGTCCAGACCTGCAAAGGACAGACATGTCCACATGGTAAAAAGTGGGCCATGGGGCACCCACACCAAAGAACAAGCAGGGGCCTCTGAGTGTGTACCCACCAGACTCAGAATCCATGCAAAATTATTTCCAAGCAATGTGCTTGTTAAATATCAGTGGAGCTTTGTACTTGTGTAGACAAAGATTTGTGGAGATGGCAACTCATTTTGTAAGACTGGTATTACCAGGATTAAAAAAAAAAAAACCTCACGGATAGGAGAGAGAAAAATTACAGTACTAAGATGTAAAAATCTTCAGACATTAGAAAACTCATTCCAACAATGTGTTATATAAATGATGCATGTAACATAACACCAGATTTGGGTTTATCCCAGAAATGTGAGTTTTATCACTAAAAAATATATTATGGGGACTTCAGTTTCCACTAACATGAAAGGGCTCGGTATCAGGACTTCTCTTCCCATTAAAACAACTAAAAATTTGAAATAGATCAGTGGACAACCCGTAGCCATTTCTGAAAATGGCACAGGCCTGCAGGCCTGGACCGACCCACGTGTAGGCAGGATGTCTGAAAAGTTGGCCAGAATGGGCACAACAGGGCATGGAGGAGATTGTGGTAAATGGAAGAGTTCAGGTCCTGGCCAGCCCTCTCCCCAACCCCAGCTGATCCTGGTAGGCAGCCATATCATTCAAGAGAAGCCAGAGTTTGGGATGTTTAGGTGAAATCTCTTGAATGTAATGGTCAGCAAATACTGAGGAAGCTAAGGAACAGAACCCAACAGGTGGCAGCTGGCCAGGCCTCTACTACTGGCCTTGGGCTCTTGACTTTCTCACTAGCTGTGAACATACAGAGACATGGACTCTAACTCCTCCCAGAACCTGACGGGTCTACATCTTTTGCTGCAAAACCGGAAGATCCAATGAGCCCACTAGGATGGAGACATTCCACACCAAACCCAATGGGAACACTCCCCTTGGCTAAACCACAGAAACATTTTCTTCCAAACACCTGCTTGAGAAATTCAAGAAAATCCGTGTGTGACCCCAGCTGCCATGAAAACGTGTTCTCAGCTACTTTACTTTTATAGAAATAACTCTGCAAGTGAGCTGAAGTAGGACTGGGGGTTGGGGACCTTCTCCCAGAACAGTTTGGGGTTGGGGGAAGGAGAGTGACTGCTAATGGGCACTAAATTTCTTTCTGGAGTAAAAATGACATTCTAAAATTGACAGTGGTAATAGTAATATTTACAACTCTGTGACTATACAAAAAATAAAATAAAATAAAATCACTGAATCGTACACGTTCAACAAGGGGACTTTATAAAATATATCTCAATTTTTAAAAAAGTTAGCAGAGGATCAACTGTCAACTGCTCCCCTCCCTCTGAGACTAAAACTTTAAGTGCCTCAGAGACATTCTACAAGGAAGAGCCTCCTCTCCTGGCCCTGGAGAACCCATCTGCCCCTCACTCTTTTTTTTTTTTTGTAATGTATCTTTCTCTTTTTCACTAATTTTTTTTTAAAGATTTTTATTGGGGAATTGGGGGGATGGGAACAGTGCTGGGGAATTGGGGGAAGGGGAACAGACAAGTTGCTGTCCTTTTTGTTCTTCAGTCTAGTTGTGGAGGACGTTGCTTCACTGGCCCAAGTTGGCACCGTCATTGTGCTCTTCCTGGGAGAGGCAGATCAGTCGCCGGCTTCTGGACGGCCGCTCACTGCGGCTGCTGGCTGCTCATGCTGGCTGCTGGCTACACCCAGTAGCCCATGGCAGCCCACTGCAGAAGGGGCTGCAGCCTACGCCGTCGCCGGCGACTCACGGCAGCCCAGCTCCAGGTTGAGCTGTTGTTCAGCATCTTAGCTGTGGAGGGCAGTGCCACTGACCCTCATATGTGGGATCCGAACCCGGGCCCTCTGGCATCCCAAGCCAGTTCTTAACCATCGCGCCACTCGGCCGGCCCTGCCCCTCACTCTTGTCCCCGAGTCACTGTTTTCTTCTGGGCTGAGAGACGGCCGGCCCCTCAAGGAGACCTTCTTTCCATGGCTTGCATGCTCCCACCCCTCCATACCTTCTCACTCCCTCTACTTTTTACCTGCCTCTCCCACTGGAATGTGAACCCCAGAAGAGCAGGGGTTAGTCACAGCAGGTCCCTGAGCAGCACCTGGCTCATAGGGCATTAATTATTTTCAATGGTACCAGTTTTTTCAGGAAAGGCATGCTGACTATGCCTGTTTTGTTGGCCATTACAGACCCTTACGTCCACGCATCTGGGGTCAGACTGGTGCCAAAACGCAGGTGCCAAAAAAATATATTCTCATGGCTTGTATTCATCTTTTGTTATCGGTATATATTATTACAATTTTAATAGTTTTTTCCTTTCTTAAAATGTGTATACATTTTTTTGGCACTCTCTGTATTTGTAAGGTAAGTGGAGAAGTGCGGTCCCTGGGCCTCTGGGCCCATGTGGTGACCAAGCAGCCCACAGGAGGCAATCTCACCCCCGTTATTCACTATGGCAGTGCCAGCCAGGGTGCCCCTTTCTCATGCCCTCACCCCAGGGGCCCTCAGACCAAAGCCTCTCCTCATTGTCAAGGATGGTGGGACTGTCCAGGTTGGATTTCAAGGAGCAGCTAAGATACTGGTATGTATACAAGAGAGGCGAGTGGGGGATGAGAGCGAGGAAGTGTTGAGTGAAAGACAGGAGGGGAGAGGTGGAGAGGGAAGCAGAGGCAGAGATAAGGCAATGAGAGGAAGGAAAGAGGGTGAGGGAGAAGGAGAGGAAGTGGGAAGTGAGGAGAGAGAAGGGAGAAAAGTAAGGTGACATACAAAGTACTGACAGGTGAATCAAAGGGTACACAGAAGTTTTATGACCTTTACTCAGAACTTTTCTATAAATTTAAAAGTTTTTTTAAAAGGATCCTCAATGGTACCTATTCCCCCTTGCCAGCCCCTCCACCTGCAGCTTCACGGAGACCCATTCACCCTTCTCCCATGGCTCATAGGGCACTAATTATTTTCAATGGTACCAGTTTTTTTTTCAATGGATCAGAATTCCTCATCCACCAAAGGGGTCCCAGAGCAGGGGCAGGTACCTACCTCAAACCGACACCACTCTCAAGTGACTGGGGAGAGGAAGGCAACCCCTGACCCCGAGTCCCACCTGGTGCCACAACCTGCTCGGGGGCCCTCACTAGGGGCCTCCACAGACCCTGTCGTCATCCCCTCAGGCCTCCCAGGAACGCAGCTGTACGGTGTACTCAGGCCTCATCGCTCAGACCCGCTCAAGAATGGCAGGTCGCGGCGCCCCACGGTCGCCAGCAAGACCCACCATAGGTTCAGCGGCCCGGAGACGGTGCCAATGGCCTGGAGCTGGATGAAGCTGGCCACAACGCTTGTGCGCGCCGCGGACTACGACTCCCAGAATGCAGCAGGCTTTTTTCCCGCGGACGGGGCTGCGCGACAGCCAATTAGGGGCGGAGCTATCGCTCGCACCTCACCCTCCTCTGCGCCTGCGTCTCTTTGGATGCCATGGCAATGGCGTAAACAAGAGGGAAAAAACTGCCCTGACAACCAGAGACACAGACTACAGGGAGAGGGGCAGCGACAGGGAGCGACAGAAGCGTGAGGACCGAGATATGGAGTGACAGGGGTGAGAGACTCTGAGTTCCAGAGATGGAGAGATACAGAGAGAAGACAGGCGGACAGAGACACAGCCAGTGAAGGAGAGAGATTCAGACAAAGGGAGATCCAGAGATTGGAAACTCAGATATCAAGACTCAGAGACAGGAACAGACAGAAGTGGGTAGACCCTGAAGTGGGAAGATAGAGATAAGAAGACCTAGAGATGAAGACAGAGAAGGTGAGAAGCAAAAACAGGGAGACGACAGATGGAGACCCAGAGCCTGAGACCCAGAAGTGGGGACACCCAGACAGAGATGTGGAGGCACTGAGGCACAGAGACACTGACTCACTAAAAAAGGAGATCAGTTCTGCATATCCAGGGAACAGAATTCAAAGACCAACTATGTTGGGGGCTTCAAGAGACATTAAAATTTAGGAAACTTTAATGAGATGCAACTGCAGTGAGTAGTGTGCTCAGAATCCCAAAATGTATGTTGCTGCTCAAGCTGACAGGACAAACAGGCTAGGACTCTGATCCCCATTACAGAATTTTCTCGACAGCAGAGTTTATGAGGCTGTTATTTTGTGTGAACTGATTTTTGAAAAATGTTTATGTAAAGTTTTATACAATTTTTTTTAAAGATTTTATTGGGGAATTGGGGAAGAGGAACAGTGTTGGGGAATTGGGGAAGGGGAACAGCCATGTTGTTGTCCAATCTTAGTTGAGGAGGGCGCAGCTAGTTCAGCTCCAAGTCCAGTTGCCATCCGGCTGCCCATAGGGAACTGGCGGCTGCTCAGCTCAAGGTGTCATGTTCAATTTTAGTTGGGGGTGGGCATAGCCCACCTGTTGCCTTACAGCTTCATCCTCGACCACCCCCCACACACCAACCCCTGACCTAACGAGGTCACGAAGGAATGTCTTGGAACACGGAGACCCGGTGAAATAATATAGGTAAAGCTTCCTCAAGGGAGTGTCTCGGAGCGCTGAGACCTGGCGGGATGATGTTGGTTATCTCCCTTACTTCATGGCCGCGGCAACAGCTGTACCATCCTGGGGGATGTGTGTGTAGAAGCATGAAGGAACAGCATGTGTTAGAATACAATGGGGCTGGTTGATGGAAATTAGGTATAAGGCACTTATCACACGGACTTTAGAAAAAAACAAGTTTCACTCCTTTGAAGGTCCAATTCGGGGCTCGGTTCCAGAGAGAGAGAACTGCAGTCCTCTGGCCTCACTTTAACTCTATCCTTGTCTCTTCTGTTTCTTTAAACCTTTGCCGCCCTTCTCACTCCCCACTGCCTATGCTGCGCAGGACGAGGCACCCACCATCCCATGTGAAAGCTGAACCGGAAACCTTGTTGTTAGGAGCATATGTTCTCACCAACTGAGTCATCCTGCCACCTGTTGGCAGCTTAGTGGCAGCTCAGCTCGGGCGCAGCTCACTGGCCCAATTGGGAATCAAACTGGCGACGCTGTTGCTCAGAGCTCGCATTCTTAACTAACTGAGCCACTCGGCCAGCCCTTATATTATTTCCTTTACTTACATACAAGAATCACATTTTTGGGTATTCAGTTCTGAATTTTAACTTGTATAACCATAAACACAATCAGAACAAAGAATAGATCCTTTGCACAAAAACCTCCCTTCTGCTGTCCCCTCCCCCACCTATAATCCTGGCAACCACTGATCTGTTCTCAGTGACTAGTTTTGCATCTTCCAGAATTATATAAATAGAATCATAGAGTATGTGGCCTTTTCAGTTTGGCTTTTTTCACTGAACATAATTCCTTTGATATCCATTCATGTTGTGTGTATTAATAGTTCATTCCTTTCTATTGCTAACTAGTATTTGATGGTATAGATATACCACAGTTTAACCATTCTGTATAGTTAAAAATAAATTCACACGTGACTTGTATTATGAAGAGACCCTGCACATACCATAAGCCAATTATACCACTGTTATAAGTACAGTGTTATCTGACACAGAAACAGAAATATGTCTGTGGAACACGGTCCACATTAAATTAAAATACACATTACAATATGGGATTCTGATAAAGATGACATTTCAATCCATTAGGAAAAAGATTAAGTGTTCAATAAATGGTGCTGGGACAAATGACTATCCATGTGGCAAAAAAAAAAGTTGGATCTTAACACCTCATTACTTGTATCAAAGTTAATTCCAGATGGACTTAAGATTTAACTTTTAAAAATGAAACAATAAAAAAACTTAAAGAAAACAGGAAGACCTTAAAAATCTTTGTATAGCTTTTTGTTTTTGTTTTCATCCAGGAGATATTTTAATACAAACTGCTGTTTGTCACTTTTGAGGGATCCCTTTATACAAAAGTATCAAGGAGTTGGCTAAGCTTAATTGGTTGAGAATCTGGTCTGTGGGTCTTGCCTTGTATCTAGTAAGCAAAGTAAAGCTACAAAGACAAAGGAGAGAGGAAGTTCTGAAGATTCCAGCTCCAGTCTGAGTAAATTAATCCCAGTTTCCATATTGGCAGAACCCATCAGTGCACTATAAATTATATTTTCT